AAGGGAGAGGGCCCCAGTGGGCTGAGAGCAGTCCTGCAAAGAAGAGCTGCAGGCACTGGCTATCGGGAGAGACAGCACAGGGGCTGGTTGCGGGGGCACGTGCACGTGCACAGCGACCCATGGAGATGTGGAGCGCTGGCCCTCCCTGCTACAGAGGGGCACACTGCCCTCTCCATATGGGGAAAGCAGGAGAGGCTGACTGGTCACGCCCTTCCCTCCCCCATCTGGCCTTGCCCCACTTCAAGAAGTGTTGTCGTAGAATTCTTTAGTGGATTGTCTACAATGACTTAAGAAGAGTGAAAATCTAACAGGAAGTCAACTAAAAATAAATAGAAGTTATGTCCCAGGCACTGAGGGCCAAGCTGAAGGAGCCATTACTTCTTATATAATGTTTATTGGGGTGGTAGTTGTGTGACATGTATTGTGTTAAAAAGCTGCCTGTGAATTATCTTTCTTCATCCTCACCCTTGGCTGTCTGAATCCAGAGCCCACCACACTCTTAACCACCTCCCCATATATGCCTTTTTATGATGTGGTGTATCAGTCAGAGTTCATTCAGGGGAGTAGAGACACCATGCGCATTGCAGAAATGAGGGAGTTATTAGAAATACAACTACTCAGCCTTGGCTGGTGTGGCTCAGTGTATTGAGTGCCAGCCTGCAAAGCAAAAGGTTGCTGGTTCAATTCCCAGTCGGGTCCTATGCCTGGGATGCAGGCCAGGTCCCCAGTTGGGGTAAATGTTAGAGGTGCAAGAAACAACTGATTCATGTTTCTCTCTTGTATCAATGTTTCCCTCTTTCTCTCCCTTCTTCTCTCTCTAAAAATAAATAAATAATTTAAAATATATTTAAATTTAAAACAATTTAAAATAAATAATTTAAAAATAAGAAATGAGACTACTTAAAGGTAAGAGGAGCTAGAGAAGTAAAGGCCAAGAGGGAATTGTGGGATGATTAGAGAGGAGTCACTAAGGCCTTGAAGACTAACTGGGATCTGTGGGCACATCTGTCACAGTATCTGACAACAGAGATCTCCCCAGAGGATTTGCTGAGGCTCCCATCTGTCTTCCAAATATCACACTCGGCCCTCTCTTGGCCTACTGCAACTCACAGCCAGCCCCAGCAGGAGGGGATTCTGTGAGTGTGCTTTCCAGCTTCACCAACCTGAGTTAGCATAATCCAGTCCAGTGTTAAGGTGTTGGAAGCTATGAAAGAATTCACAAAGAGAAGAAAGTGCAGAGAATTGTTTTTATTCACTCTCCAAGAAAGAAGAGGGGCATGGTGAGGATACACCAGCTTTGAGGGGTGGGGGTTTTGAGCTTTTATTGGATTGTAGTTGGATTAAAAAAGTGGGGGGCGGGGTTGTTGTGTGGCCCCTGGGCTGTTGGCACATTGTAACAGGGGCTGCGGTTTGTTCCAATGTTCTCCTCTGCCTGTGGCCATGGGGAGCGATTAGTTCTGTTCTTGCTTCCAGGAATTCCCAGCCCTGGGGACAAAAGCTCTGAAGAGTAAAATGGCAGTCATGTTTAACAAAGTCACAGGCCTCCTCAGCAAATGGTGCCACAATAGCAAGTGGCTCTGGCTTTACACTTTCATCCAGCACATGAGAATTTCTTTGATGTAAATGAGAATATAACTGACCAGACATTCAAGCAGCAGAAGAAAGTCAGAGTCTCATTTTTAACGGCTGCATAAGCATTTTTGTAATGAGTCAGTGTTTGTCACAATAGTACTTACAAACATTTGAAAATATTAATTTCTTCAGAACTGCACTCCAACGACTAAACAGAATGCATGGTACATAGTACATACTCAGTAAATATTGGATGATGGGATGGATATCGGATGGCTAGAGTTCATGTAGGACAATCAGCTCTTACTCATAAACTCCAGAAGATATCTGACAATCCCCCAGGAGCAGGAACTGGACTTATTCCTCCAGGCGAGTGGGACATAGTTCTGCTCACCACCTTGCCACTTTCTGTCCTCTGGCCAACACCTGAAATGGGATGAAAACACCATGCTTGCTACTTCTAGGAGGAAGTGATCACTATCCTTTTTAGGTGTCTTCCTTGCTCACGATGATCCCTGTATTTTTTTTTTTAAAGATTTTCTTTATTGATTTTTAGAGAGAGGGGAAGGTAGAGAAGGAGAGAAATATCAACGTGAGAGAGAAACATCGATTGGTTGACTCTTGTATGCGCCCCAACTGGGGACCAAACCTCAGCCCAGGCATGTGCCCCAACCAGGAATCAACTGGGTGGCCTTTTGCTTTGCAGGATGACACTTAGCCGTCTGAGCCACACAGGTCAGGGAACAATGATCCTTTTAATCGCCCTTCTTCCTCATGCATGTGGGTGGGGACCTAACACCCCTGTTTGCTCTGAGAAATTCTATCTTTTGGGCACAGCTGTGCCAATCAGTTTCTCTCTTCTGGGAATTTGAAATTAAGACAAAGAAAGATATTAAATTTTTATACATGATATAACATAATAAAACAAGCATAGAGACATGAAGTAGAATAAAAGCATTGTTGCTAGTATTACCTGACAGGCAATGTAGGCAAAAAGCATTTTAGTTTTTTACTTTACACCATACATCAAAAAATTTAAAAGCTTTTAGAAGGAACAGAGAGGAAATTTCATAAAGGACTCATATGCAAAATATATAATAAATAATAACAGTGAGTAAAAGACAGTAGAAAAATAGGCACAGGATTTGAACAGGTTCCTCACAACAGAGGTTACTAAAATGGTCAATAAACATATGAAAAGGTGTTTTACTTCATTAATCAACAGGAAAATGCAAAATAAAACTATAAGAAAACACCATTCTAAACAGCAGAATGAATAAAATGAAAAAACTGACAATACCAAATGTTAGTAAAAATGTGGATCAGAGCATGCATTCAGTCACTGCTGGTAGAAGTATCGACTGGTACAATCACTGTGGAGTTGTTTCTTATCAGGAATATTTACTAACGTTGAGCATACAAATATCCTATCACATAGTAATTATAAGTATCTATCCAAGGGAACTGCCTATTTAACTTCACCAAAACACATATTCCAGGATATTCATAGCAATGGTATTCACAATAACCTAAATCTAGAAACTCTCAAGTGTCCATCAATAGTAGAATGGATAAAAAACATTGTGGTAGAGTGACATAGTGAAATACTACCCAATGGTGATAATTAATAAGCTACAACTACATGTATAATATATAGAAATCTCACAGATATTAGGTTGAATGAAATTAGTACTCACTATATAATTTCATTTATATAAAGAATAGGCAAAACTAATGTCTGCTGTTAGAACTCAGGCTATAGGTTACCTTTGGGGTAGGGGAAGGGTAGTTACTGGCTAGAAAAATGGATTCGGGGATGCTTGTAGTGCTCTATTTCTTGATCTGAATCCAGGTGACAAAGGTGTGTTCAGTTTGTGAAAATTTTAATTAAACTGAACACTTATGACACATGCTCTTTTCTTCACTACATACTACACTGAAGTTGTTTTTAAAATAGTAACTTTGAGGAGCAGTTTAGTTGCCTGTCTACAAATAAATCTGCTGACAACTTCCTCATTTAACCTTCACAGAGACCCTGAGGGCAATGAAGCAGCAAAAACATGGGGGCCCAGAGAGCCTCTCAAACTTTTTTGGATGAATATTTTTCAAGTCTGAGTTTACATAGATAAAGAAATGTAAGTAATAATTTTACACAGAGGTGGCTGTGGAAGGAGATGTGGGGATGGGACAGACTTTAGCGCTCCACCCAGGTTATCCTAAATAAATTTACAATCTAATTTTAAAACGTGTTTAATATATAAATGTCAGTTCAACCATCTCTATAAACATCAATGTAGGAAAAAGGACCCATGCTTGCTATGCAAACAGCTTCAAGACAGGAGTCCCAGCTACCGACCCCTCCACGCCCCTTTGCACCCAGGTCGCTGTTTCCTAAAAGCTCCCAATTCTAAGAGTGCTGCCTGAATGCGGGTTTGCCTGTTGACTCTAGTGTTTTAAGTGTAAAAAGTTGGAAGCACCCCTGACAATATGTCATAAATCTGAGGTCGGTGAAACATTTGGGTGTGGCAGGACAAAGCCAGTCAGGGCCTCACCCAATGGCAGCAGCTCAGAACTGTCCCTGCTCCTCTGCAGAGCAGTTGTCCACAGACAATAGGACAGCAGTTTTATTTGTCAGCTTGTTAGTTTCTCTCTACCCGGCATCTTCCTTTTACAAATCCCATTCACAGTCCCCATCACTCCACACCCCGCCCCGCACCTCACCCCCGCTGTTGTTCACGCCCACAGAATCCAATCTTCCATGTTTAAACCAGTTCTAGTCACATCCGAGCCTCCGCCCACTTTATTCTAATAGGATGTTGGCTACTATGCAAATCGGTTGAGCGAACGTTTATTTATTCATTCAAAAGACAAAGTAGGAAGTGGGGTGTAATTGAATTCTTTCGTTGCTTTGTTCAGTAATGTGCCAACATTGTGCTGCTGGGTTGCAGGAAATGGAAAAAAGTTAATTTGTGTAAATTACAAGTTTGCATCGTTTTCCTACTTAAAACAGTCTAATTTAATAAACACCAACAACAAACACCTGGGGGAGAAAAAACACCTTGTTTAAAATTACAGTAATTTTGATTTGTCTTTAGTTATAAAAATCATTTTAAATTTATAAAAACTGAAAAGGTGATGGAATTGTGTCTCTTTTGAAATGTTATTTTCCAATGAGCAAATGTAGAAAGGCCAATCACGCTCTTGCAAATCCAGTTATCAACAAACTTTTCCCGCATCCCAAACTTGACTTTCTCACTACGCTTCTCTACCAACATCGCGAGAACAAAGAGGTCCCTTTGGCCCCACCCTCTCGGTCAGCTCAACCCCACCCACTTCCTGCGTGGGGATGTTTTGACGTCAGAGGGGCGCCGAAGCGCGTGGGCGGCTGCACCAGGAGCGGAAGTGCTCTCGGCGGAAGTGCTTGTCGCGCGGTTACTGGGTAGGATGGTTTCGGGGAGGGTGTTTGTAAGGCTGCTGCGTGCACTCTCCAGTTCCATGTCTCAGGCTCCCCTCGAGAGCGTGCCCCCCTCCAGGGGCCTGCACGCTGGGCGCGGGCCCCGAAGGCTCTCCGTCGAAGGCAACATTGGTAAGGGCCGGAAAGGGGTTGCCAAGCCTTGGCCTCCGCTGAGCAGGTGCCTGAGAGGCCGGGAAAGGGAGCTGGGCCCGGAACCCCTCCCCTCCCCTCTTCTCCCAACCTCCTCCCTCGGTCTAAGGCGGCGGGGCTGCTTTGAGCTGCCAGGGCCATTCCCCTCCCAAAATGCACTGTGGACCTCTGCCTCTTTGATATTTAGAACGTCATTCCTTAGTACCATTCCACAGGGACATAAAAGCCACGAACTTTGTAGACAGAACAAGAGTTCAACTAGCTTGTATGAATAGATCTAAATGAAAGCGACAAGAAGTTCGATGTAATTTCTTTGTTCTTGGGTTGCCAGATTTAGGAAAAAATAAAAAACAAAAGGATGCCTATTTAAAATAGGACTTCAGATACGGAATAGTTTCTTAGTGCAGTTGTGTGTCAATAGATGGGGCGCGCGCACACGCACACACAATATTCATTATCTATAACTGTGTGTCGTGTATTTTATCTGGCAACTCTACCCTAAGAGAGTTCTTAAACTTCAGTCATTCAGATACCACTTTCACTATTTTTGCCACGTTTCTTTGTTAGTCCCACTATAATGTTTTTCTTAAAAGAAACTCACTTTTCAACCTTAAAAACGTGTATTAAGTTAAAAACTTACAAGAGCAAACAGAAACTCAGTATCTAAATAAAAAGTAATTAAAAATTGAAAGCAAAACACTTTGATTTAATGTTACTAAATTCTGACTTGATACTTTTACCTGCTGACTTACTGAGACCTAAAAGGACTAGCAGTGTTAAGTGTCGAAGGCATACTAACAGTAATCTGAGAATTTCTCATTCATTTATCAAATAACCTTCTGAGCCATGTCTACATGCCAGCACTGTTGTTGGCCCTGAAGATACAGTAGTGTGCAGAACAAATAAATAAATGTTCTCATGGAACTTAGGTAGGGAGAGATAGACAATGAACAACGTACATTAATGAAAGTAAACCATGTGGTGAGTAGTAGTGAGTGTGATGAAGAAAATTCAGGGATTAAGGGAAGCTGCAGTTTTAAGTAGGGTAATCAAGCCAGTCAGGACTTCCAAGGTGACATTTGAGCAAAACCTTGAAGAAGCTGAGGGAGTGAACCATGTGAATGACTGGGAGAAGAATCTTTCAGGCAGAGAGAGAACCAACTGCAAAGGCTCTGAGATGGAAAGTGTGTTCAGGGAACAAGAGAGAAGCCATTGTGTCTGGAGTGGAGTGAGCAAGAGGGAGAGTGGAAGAGGTAAGGTCAGAAGGTAAGGGGTGGCTGGACTGTGTATAGGCTTTGTAGTCCTTGATGCCTTACTCTGAGTAAGATGGGAAGCCATTGGAAGGTTTGGATAGTCAAGTGATACAATTTGATTTAAATTATAAAAAGGTTGCTCTGGCAGATATATTGAAGGTAAAAAGTGTCAGGAGGTGTTCGCAATGGTGAGTTCCAGTGAGTTGGTTCAGGGTGGTAATAGAGGAGGTGGTGAGAAAGGATTGGATTCTAGTTACATTTTAAGGTAGGGCTAACTAGACTTGTTAACAGGTAGATGTGGAATGAGATGAAAGGAGGGTTCGGTGATGACTCCAATCATTTTGGCCTGAGCAACTTGAAAGATGCATTTCCTTAAGAGGAGGAGAATAGGGAAAAACAGGTTTGAGGGAGGGAATGGTTTCAAGATTTTGTTTTTAGGCATGTTGGGTTTTTATAGGGTTGTTAGATATATCTAAGTGTAGTTGTTAAATAGGCAGTTGGATATAGGAGCCCAGAGTTCAGAGTCTTCCCGGACTGGAGTTATAAATATAGTATGTATTTACATCCAGGAGACTGTGTGTTGATGGAAAGGACCAAGCCCTGAGTACTAAAGAGACTGGGGAGATGGGAAGGAACCAGCAAAAGAGACTGAGGAGGAATCCGACCACTGAAAAACTAAAAGAGAGTGGTATCCTGGAAGCCAAGTGAAGAACCTGTTTGAGGGAGGGAATCATCAACTATGTAATACTCTCTTAATGGAGCTCTCTGGTGAACTTGAATGGTTTTTAGGAGCAGTAAAGGTGAAAGTGATTGGCATAGGTTCAAGGAGAATGGGAAGTAAGGAACTGTAGACAGTGGGTTAAGCAACTGTTCGGAAGTTTTCTTAGAAAGGAAAGACATGAGTGGTAACTGAAATGGGAAAAGGATTTCAGACTTTTTTCTTGTAAGAGAAATTACATCATATTTGTAAGCTGGTAGAAATGGTCTGGTAGAGAGGGAAAAAATGGTGAAACAGGAGAGAAGATAGAATCGCTGGAGTGATGTTAGCAAGCAAGAAGGAACAGACCAGGCGGAGCAAGTTTGGTTTTGGCTGGAAGCATAGTTTATTTCTAATAAAGAAGAGCATGACAAATAAGTGAGTACTAACTTGAGTAGATATGGTGGAAACTTGTGGAAGGTCTTTTGGTTGTGTGTGTCTTCTCAGCGAAAGAGAAAAATCAGCTAAGAGTGAGTATGAGGAGAGCAGAAAGACATGAAGTATCTAGTGAGTGAAAGGGAGAAATGTAGAGTTGCTGGGCAGCAATAAGGACCCATTTGGACTTAGTGGTCATGAATTTAAAGTGGAACCAGTCACCATGGCTGTGTGTGTTTCTCCAGCCAGATCAGAGACATTGAGAGAAATGAGATGGGAGGGTCCTGCTACCTGCCTGATGGTGTTATTCAAAGATATTCTCTAGTGTACTTTGAGAAATACGCCCTCAAAGGAAGCTCTACCCTTAGAACCTAGAAAGGTACAAAGTACTTTACAAAATAAGTATTTTGGGCAGCTCATCATGTGAGGTGTGAGCTTCCTGTCCCAATTTTCCTGACCTTTTCTTCTTAACCTTTCCAGATTTGTATGTTTCTTCTTGCTTTCTCATGCAACCAAGGCTCACTGAGTATGTTCTCTGAAGGGGAACTCATTTGTGATAAAGCTCTTGTCCTTTAAGGAGCTCACAGCCAAGTGAAAGAAGCCAACTTCTAAACATGATTTATATATACCATGTGATGAGTGCCATGTTTGGGCATGGAAACTTGGAATCTCAGGGGTAGGAATTCCCAAGAGGGAGAAGAGGAAGGGTGTTCCAGGCACAGGAAGTAACATTTGACAAAACAGAAGAAACATGTAGTTTTAATAACAGAGAAGTAGCTGGATGTGCCTGGAGTTTAAAGGCCTGTAAGAGGATGGCAGAACAAGAGGTTGGAAGGATAGGATTTGCCAGATGTTGTGGGCCATGCCAGGAGTTTCTCCTGTAAGCAGTGAGAGGCTCCTGAAGACTTGAAGCCAGTATGTGCCATAACCAGATTAATTTTAAAAAAGAAAATTGGCTAGAATGAGCAAATAGGAAGAAAGACCCAAAAGCTGGCATTTTTTTTTTGCATGTCTTGTTTGCTGTAGTGCACATAATACCTTGCATGAAGTTGGTTGAATGAATAAATAGAAACAGTTTGGAGTAAATAGACTAATTTTGTGTCTCTTAAAGTAGTTGGACGGAGGAAAGATGCAGGCCTGCACAGAGGAATGAAGAGACTAAGAAGTGCTAGTTTGAGAGCGATTTTGAAGTAGGATTGATAGGCCTTGATAGTCTCTTGAAGGTGAGGGATAAGGAGACATAGAAGATGACAATGAGGTTTATACTTTGGACACTGACTCTGAAAACTGAGGGTGGGAATAGAAGATGAAATCTGGGGAGGTAAGAGATATACAGTGTCTGGCACAAATAACGCCTCTTGTTTAATTGCAAACTTTTGTTATAAAATAATAAGCATGTAATTCTGTAACATAACAGTATTACACTCAAGCACACCATATGACATTTTAGGTGAAATGCCCAAATTACTGTCCATCTCATTCAAGACATTCATGTACCCTGCCAACCACACTTAGGTGTTACTTCTGCCGGACCCCGTATTTGATATGAGATGCCTCTGAGACATACAGAGATAGGTGTTCTGAGGTAGGTTAGAATATATGTCTGGCGGCAAGAAAGTTGGAAGCCGAGATTTCATATATGGAAGTTGTTAACTTGGGATAATTGTTGAGGCCTTGGAAGTGAATGCAGTTGCCTAAGAAAAGTAACTAATGAGAAGTGGACTGGAATTCTTGAATCTGGCTCTCTGTATTTCCTATTACTCTGCATCACCCCACACACTGATGACTCTCCCCAGACAAAATTAGTCACTGCCTCCTCTGTATGCTCTCATAACATTTTGTACCCAGAACTGCTGTAGCACTTGAGTTCTGTTGAGATTGTTTGCAACATTCAACATCTTCCCTGGGTTGGCCACTTAATGTCTTGTTCATCTTTGTGTCACCAGGACCTAACCCCCTCCTGACCCATTGTACTCAGTCGGTGTTTACCAGATGCTTGAATCCTGTGCTGTGATATCCATAGGAGAGTTAGTCATTGGTACCCACAAAGGAAATAATTTAAACTGATGATGTAATCAAATCAAGAGTTACTTGGTTCTCTAATCACAGGTGGCATCATTAAACAAATCAAAAGAAGGATACCCATTCAGGAAACCTGAACAGGGCAAGGTGAGCCCCTCTCATGACTGAAGTTAGATATCTTTAGAGTGGCTTTTTAAAAAAAAAAAAACCAACCAAACAAAAGATTTTACTTATTTATTTTTAGAGAGAGGAGAAAGGAGGGAGAAAGAGGGAGAGAAACATCAATGTGCAAGAGATACATCCATCGTTTGCCTCTCCCACACCCCCAATTGGGGACCTGGCCAGAAATTCAGGCCTGTGCCCTGACTGGGAAATTGAACTGGTGGCCCTTTGTTTGCAGGCCGGCACTCAGTCCATTGAGCCACACCAGCCAGGGCTACAGTGGCTTTTCTTGTATTGTAGTTGTACTTCTTTTAAGTCTTGTTATTTTGACCCTGCAGGTGTAGATAGCAGTATGTGTAAGGGAAATGGATCAGTGAAGTAACAACTAATGGCATCTAGCATGAGTTGTGAAA